GGGGGGGGGGGGGGGGGGGGGGGGGGGGGGGGGGGGGGGGGGGGGGGGGGTGAAGGGGTGGGGTGTGGTATCTTGCGTCACCACGGCTTCGAAGAACGGTCAAGGGGGAGGGGGGGGGCATCCTGCTTCACGTAAGGCTGTCAAAATCGATCAAGGCGCGGAGTTGGGTATCTTGTGTCACCTACGGCTGTGATAACCGGCAAAGGAGGGGGGGGGGGGGGTATCTTGTGTCGCGTGCGGCACGACCTTCGCACACCAACCTGCTCATGGCCGCCCCAGGACTGAACCTCCACGTCAAGCAAGGGGTCGAGCAGCTTGGTCATCACGTTCACATCGGGCGGGGGCAAGAAGCCTGTTGTGTAGGTCGACCTGTGCAGTATGCCGGGGTGTGATGTGTTAAGGGTTCTGCGACGGGCGGCAGTTAGAGCGCGCACACGCGGGGGTATACTCATGAAAACACGCGCCTTGTTTGTCATTGGACGATTTGCCATCGCATGCCTTTGATGCCGGCACGGAGCGATATGCCGGGCTTTCGCCGGCCCAGGCTGCGGTTTCTACACGAGCATGAACCACAAGCGGCCGCGTGCGGGGGGGGGGCGGGGCAACTGATGCTTGGCATCGGCATTTTGGGCGATTGGCGAAAAACACCCGTCTAGGTGAAAACCACTGCTTCAATGTATGCACCCCTATTTTTCTACAGGCAGCATTCTCCTGATACGGAAGGGGACCACGTGGGGAGGCCCCGGTGACGTCCAGTCATTCGTTCAGGAGCTCGCCACCTTCCACATAAAAGAAGACACAGACAAATAGGAAAAAGAAAATGGTACCACACAGATGCTGTTCTTGCTCGGCGTTGCGTGGCTATCCTGCGCGGTGGGGGCGGGGGTGGTTGGCAGGAAGACCATTAGGAAGAGGTGATCTTCACCCTGCGGGAACTGTTGCGTACGAAGCTAGATCGACGGATTTAGAAGAGATACTTGTGTGCGATTATGTTGAAATTTTCAGTTATCCGGTCTGCGCGATCTTCTTTTGCGTTTGATAATCTCCTGATTCCAAAACACATTTGTCCTCTGTCTCTTGAGTAGCTACAGCAGGTTTGTGACCACGAAAGGCGTCAGTCAGCTGGACCAGTACGGCTGACCTTAAGGAGAGATCGGAACGGATGATAATATGAAGAGAAAATCAACAAGGACAAGTACAAGAACAGCAATAACAGTGGCATCAACAGCAGCGACTACGACAGCAACAGCAGCAGCAGCAAAAAACAACAAACAACGCCAAATAAAACATCAACCCTGATAACGAAAAGGCATCCGGATTACGACTGGTACTGATAGTAATTTTTGGACTTCCCAGGCTAGGCCATCGACGTCCGGCTCAACAGCACAAGAACACCGGGCGTATGGTTTCGAAGCCATGTCCTACTAAATGCCTAATCCGCCAGTGTCGTCATCGTGGTGGCCCAAATGTTGTGGACTAGCCCAACCAACAACGCAAATAAACTGGGTAAGGTACTCGTGTCAACGAATGCCGTAGTCGTTAGGCCATGGACCTTGCATCCGTACAATGCCAGGACGGAAGGCCACGCAAAGTTTTGCCGGCTCGGGAAACAGGGGGGGGGGGGGGGGGGGGTNNNNGGGGGGGGGGGGGGGGGGGGGGGGGGGGGGGGGGGGGGGGGGGGGGGGGGGGGGGGGGGGGGGGGGGAGGGTCTTTCGGACGGTTCTGCGATTTTCCAGGTTCCAGGTGGTAGTGGGGGGTCCCCTATCTGGTTCGTCTTGAAATATATCACGGCGTCGGCTACACGAAGAATGTTACGCCAACGCTCAAAAATAGCGCTAATTCCTGCACAATCATTCCCCCGAGATCCTCGCAGTTCTCGACAGGGGGTGCCACACCAGCATCCAACCAACATTAAAGGGTGTTTTTCAGATGGAGTCCGACGTGGTCGGGACGGGGGCGGCTTTCATCACATACGTCAAGATAATCACATTTTCGGTTCAAGCTTATGTGGATTCAAAATCTACCCAGTATTGAGTAGGCACTCTTCCCCACTCGCTGCTTCAAGAGTCCAAACACATTCGCTTCGACCCGTGGCATCGTCTCGAGCGGCTGCTGTGCTCTCTCGTTGGCTGCACGTGTACATTCTGTCGGGGAAAAAGCTCCCTCCTCGTCTCTGGTGGTTTTCATACGTCGCAGAGAACAAACGAGGGCTGCCAGAGAGTGTGATACTCTCCGCTCTGTACCCAGAGGGCACACGGATTCAAGTACGGTGGTAGTCCCGGTATACCGTACCGTACCGCGGGCCCGAGAAGTGCGGGTCCCCGTCTTGATACACCACGGCAAAAACCACTTGTCACGGGATTTGACTACCACACTAAAAGCTACCGTATGTATCCCCCAAACGCCCAATATGTTGTGCGGTTTCCCGACGTATGCGCGGGTGTTTTCGCTTGTCGCTTCGCGGCGGAATGTCGGGACCCTCGCTGTACTGGAAGCATTGCCACCACCTGGACTAGGGACCACACCCGAGATCCGGACCCCCGCAAATGCATGCACCTCAGCCACCCACCATGTCTTAAGCGCGGAGTCCGCTCCGTCCAGCAGCTTGGCCGCGGTAAGCTTTTCCATCCCCTCGTAAACGGCCTGCTTCAGCAGCTTTTCTCTCGGCAGAACGCCGCCTCCACCACCGCCCCGGCCGCCAGCACGCAGCGTTAACGGAACTCGTGTACCTGCATGACCAAAAACAAAAACGCGAGGAGTACGACGGCACAGTGTCAGTGTCATTTCATTGGTCATACTGGGAATACAGCAGTCGTGACCGTGCAGAACGCTTCCATTTCTTGACAATATACTTAAGAGGTTTGGGGCGTACGACAAGCACCCTTGGCTAGCCCTATCGACCATGTTCCCTCGTTGCATGTATGATGTTTGTGTTGGGATTCCCGCGGGCGGAAGGTCGACTCCGACAATTAGGCGGTACAAAAATCTCAGCATATATTGTTGATGTTGTTATTGTTGTTGCTGTTGTCGTTTTTGTTTTTGTTGTTGTTGTTGTTGTTGTTGTTGTTGTTGACGGTACGGTCTCTACCCAGTACCTGCTAGTATCCGTACTGGTCCAGCTGACTCGGCCGCCTTCCGGGGTCACAGGCCAACCGCCCCCGAAAGGATACATACACAACCCAGAAAAAACCGTGGACATACATACAGGTAGCCTCGCTGGTGCTATGGATTCGTTGCTGATCTATCTTTAACTCTTTGCTTACATAGAGATGGACTCGTTGGGTCATGTTAGGAGCAAAAAAAAGAAAGGGGGTGGTTGAATATGCTGTTGTTTCGTCACCTGGTCCCCTCGTGCTGCAATTTATTGTACCTTCGACTCCAAGAGAGTCCGGCCTTTCTCATCAGGCCCCGCCCGGCAGCAGCGACTCTTTCCACACCCTAGGTATACATCTATTTCGCAGCGAAGGTCATTTACTGCTATTGGCTCACGCCATGGCATCAAGAAGATGTCAAGGATGGCCTTCGGAACCTTCTTTCGGCGACTGGGGAAATCGTTTGCTCGTAATACTTCAAGCTGTCCATGCGCATTGGCTGCACCCATGGGCAACACGCACGCAGTGCAGTATATATATACTTCGTAATAGTGTGCATGCAGTTGGCGTTGCTTTACCGTAGGATTGCGTGAGATACCACACACACCCGCAACGACTTTCCAAACCACGATAACCGTAGGAGTCGGAGAGATGGCACCCACGTGTTAGCGTTTTGGTTGTGCCTATTTCTCCACAGGTAGGAGGGTGCGATCACCATCCGATACCTCTCAGGAAAGCCCTCGACGAGATGTTTCCAAAACTACCCTTTTCGCCACTGGTTTACCCCCCTGACTGTTTTGAAATACGCTACGAGAAAACGCTAACGCGGGGGTGCCGTCTCTTCGACTCTTACGGTACTCCACCACGAAGATGATGCCACATCCAAATGACGCGTGTCCGAAAGGCCCTCGGCGAGGAAGTTCCAACTCCGCAACTGCGCTTGAGACAGCGTGTAAATGGCACTCTTCACAAAACCGCTCCGGAGGGGGGGGTGGTATCCCACGTCTTATACGGTAACCCTCAATATGATGTAAACCCCGACACATGGCAACACGCACGCATGCTCAACATACCCGCTCCGGCGCCCCCATCTCTCCTCCTCAACCCAGGAGCACCCATGCCGCGGGCCACCACTCCACGCCTGCTCGCAGCCGGAACGAGACCCCTGCAGAAGCACCATGGGAACATGACTGCTGTCAAGAGCCGCATTGCTCGATCTCTCTGCGTCAACTTACAACCGACAACCCAACTCGGCCAGCGTGCGTGGGCCACGGCGAGAACCTACAGTAGATGATGGCGACGAGCTTGATCCCGCTTTGCCCTGTAATGTCGTGGGTCGCAGGCTCCCTCCTGTGGGCCTGTGGGTGGGAGAGCCGCAACTGCACGAGACATCAAAACGCGGCGGAATCTACAGAGAGCAGTACCGCATTAAAGAAACATGAAAAACTTGATGAAATAATAACGAACTGTCTTGTATTGGAGAGACTGTCGTGTTCGCGACGATTGTACCCACATGCTACATGCTCAATAAAATTCAATCTTGCCCAATCAAATTCAATCTGCAAATTTGAAACGTGCCGATGGCTCTTGTTCCAGTCCGACGGTCCCCCAGAGCCCTCGAGCCGCGGCCTGGTCTGTGGTCTCATACACCCAGGACAACCCAACCGTGCCAGGTACGAGCTAGTGCTACATCAGGCGTGTTGAGGGAGGATAGCAGACCCATCATTTGGATCGTAACCTTCGCGCGAGCGCCTGATAGACCGCAGCATGTCTTGTTATAGTAAATAGTTGGTTGGACACGGGGGGTTTGAGGTTCGAGAGCATGTTTCGATCCCCATGGTCGCGTTTCCCACCGCAAACTCAAACTTGCAAACTCGCGTGCGTCGTGACGGAAAAATCCGCGGGAAAAGAGAAACAGACAAGAATGGATAGGCAGGAGAAAACGCTTTGGTTGTTGTTGTTGTTGGTTTGTTGTTGCTTTTTCGGCAGATCCTCAAATCGGCTCGGTTTTCCGACGGCGGAACCATGTTCCGCGCAGTTCTCGGCACACACGATCGTGGTACCTCAGGGCGTGGCAGCCGTCGTGCGGGGCATGGGCGTCGTTGTGGGTGAGGAGAGCTTGGTGGCCATGCGAAACCCGATCGAGCTTGGTTGCCATGTGAAACTCGTACTTCGATCGGATTCCGATCGGGTTTCACACGGGATCCAAGCTCTCGCCACCCACGGCAACGCCGTTGCCGCACACGCAACTGCCACGCCCTGAGATCCTGAGATACAACACACGTGCTGGTCTGACCAAGGAGGTCACTTTTCTTCAATCGCGTCCCACGCTGCCCTTTCTGCGCTTTTAGGCTTCAAATTTAGTGGCTGCTCTCATCAGATAATAGGGAAAACGCAGGCGCCAGAATTTTCTAATCTGAGTTGATTTAGACTGTATGTCCTTGTTGTGTGTGTTTTCTTCCTATTGATTTTGGCACACACACCCCTTTTTTCGTGGTGAGACATGTACTCATGCGGTACACTCTTCAGTGTATGTAGAGGACCACGCTTCAGTGTATTTTGTGAACAACTACAAACATGCAGGGTCACACAGGAGGGGTGTAAACACCACGTGTTTTTTTTGTTTTTATTTAATTTCGTACCCCACCGGTGCGTGCTGAATTTTTTGTTTTATCGCGAGAAGGGTCCAGCCGTCACTTTCCCTCGTCGACGGTGCTAACGTCGAAATTTGGTCATCCCGAGAGCTTTTTTTAGGTGATTTTCGCATAAACCGGTCGCCCCGGTGATCTAGTGGTAACTTCGAGTCCCAAAGGTCGTGAATTCAAATATTCACATGGGGCGAAGAACTTACCACAATATTTGCGGGGGAAGACGAAAAAAAGTCGGAAAATCTGTCGTTATTATTACCCAACTTCGACGCTAGAACGTTGACGAGGGGAAGGAAAGGCTGGACCCTTCTCGCGATAAACAAAAAAATCAGCACGCACCGCAGGAGGACGGTGGGGCATGAAAAGGAAAAAAAAGAAGAAAAAAGCCCTGGTGTTTACCCCCTCCTGTGTGACCCTGGATGTTTGTACAATGGTTGTACACAACAATACACTCAAAAAGTGTAGTACTATACGCAACTGAAACGTGTAGTACACGTCTCACCACGAAAGTGGGGGGACTGCGGCCATAATAAGTAGGACGAACACAAACAAACCCGCAAGTGTTGTAAATTTTCATCCCATGGGGATTCTGACTCACGACCTTTGCGACTACTGTAGTGGTTTTGAGGTTTCCGGGGCGTCCGGCTCTGTACGTATCCATATTATTCACATCATGATTAATTGGTGGTGTAGCGGGAGATACTTCCCGCACTGAAATTAGATTAACAAACAACATGTCAGATCAAGCTGAAAAATGGTATTGACTTACCTGGGAGCATTGCGAGAGCGTAGATGGTAGTTTCAAGGCTCAGGCCATCGTACACCAGAAGTTATGGCCTCGGAAATAGTCCTACTTCCTACAGAGCACCCGAGATAGCTGAGGATATGCGAGGATATTGCGATTTCCAATTCGAGTTTTTCGAGTTATTTCTGGAGATTTGGAGACGTAAGTTTGTATTGCCCTTGCCGAGAGATGCAAAACTGCGAAATTTGTTGTTTTGTTTGGTTTTTCATCATCCTGTCGCGTAACAGCTGTTCCCCTCGACAAACAACAGCGAGGTGTGAGTAGGGTCGCAACGATTACGGTCGCTTCTTCGGTCTCATTCGTGTATCCCACGTCGTTGTTACTCCCTATCCCCAGTACAAACTTGCGGCAGACCTCCGGTTCTCGGTGTGGATCGTTGCTTTCTGGTGTGACCAGCCTCACCCCCCCGACAAGATGCCCGGCTCAGATGACTCTCGTATCCCCGTGACCATCCTGACGGGTTTCCTCGGATCCGGCAAGACCACGCTCCTGAACCACATCCTGGCCGACAACACCCATGGTCTGCGTTTCGCGATCATCGAGAACGAGTTCGGCGAGGTCGGCATCGACGAGAAGCTGATCGCCTCGAAGGCTGGTCAGAAAGCCGAGTGCGACACTGAGGAGGTGATGTGGAATCTGAGGTTATACTAGGTACGGGGGTAATGAGCCGCCGGTGAAGACTCAATACCTTGCACCAAACAGTCTACGCGATGCTGTGCAAGGTGCGAGACATGTTGCTGCGAGGCAGCAAACGCAGCAACCCAGAACGCGCAATTCAATCACATGCGAACTTGTAACTCGAACGGATCTTGCACGATCTTGTACTCTCGCTCCCGCGGGAGGTTTGTTGAAAATATTACACATCAACGGCGGAGGAAAAGGAACAACGCATGCTCGCCTCTGCTACTACCGCAGTACCCCCAAATGATCGGCATCTAACAGCAGTATCGACACAGACACAGATGAGCAATGGTAGCTCACACGAGGGCACTTGTGCTGCTGCTACTATGCTGATGCTGCTGCTGTATTGGCAATGACTCCCATCTATCTTTCTTATTCGGTAGTGCATGCATGCGAGAATAACTGAAAAATAGTCCCCGGCGCCTGGCACCAGAAAGGCTCTCTTCTTGTGCATTTGTTTTGGCCCGTAGCGCAGTATTGTTTCCAGGAGACACCTCCCCGCACACCGAAGCAACAGCAAAAACGAAGGTAACGGCCACGAGTTGTATCAGTGTTCCGTCTTGTTCGGTGATTAACACCGACCGAGAGGCTGTAGTACGCTCAGAAACAGCGGGCGCAAGAATCTGGCGTTGCCTAGCCGCGTCCGCTGGGAGCGGTTTCTGTTATTCTTGCCCCAGGGACAAGTAGGTTGGACTATAGCAGTACCGATGATCCCTCCCAACACACCGAAGCAGCAGCAATGGCGATGACATCCGCCACGAGCTATGTGTATGGCCCCCTTCCCTCGCCAGTGCAGTCTTGCCCCTCCTGGCGGTGATGAGTGTTAAGCTGAGTGCTTCCTCTGGCCCTCCTGGTTGGAACCGAGCAACGGCTTCGTGCTGGTGTGTTCCTTTGCCTCTCGTCCAACCCCCGGGGACGAGGGAAAAAACGCCGATGATATAAGCTGGTTCAAGGAAATGAACCGAAATTTATTCAGCCACAGCTGACAGGCGAAACATGGACAAAAAATTGCCGCATGTGGTATCATAGTGACCCGCATGGGCACGGGAGCGAATCATAATCATCGTGGCGCGAATTTAAATCAGAGCCGTGGCCGCAATGCATTGGGCATAAATGTGTCTCAGCCAATCAGAAGCCTCCAACATGATATGCAACGAAAAACGCATGCAATCCCGCATTTCCTACCTCTTTCTACCGCATTTTCGCAACGAAGCAGTTCCCATTGCTCTGGGGGACCTATCGAAACCAAATATATGAACAAGGTCATCGTGGAAGCGAGTAATACCCAAAATGGTGGTTCGACTGCCGCGATTTGGCGTCGTCGAATATCCATGGACGGATTGAATATTGGACAAAACACGCAGGGAGTCTCGTGTTGGTGTGCCTTGTACACACCGAAGTAAGTGTTGAATAGGCCTCAGATTTTGATAGGATGGTGCAAGACAGTTCCGCCAACCGTAAAAAATACTGAGACGATGCTTGCACTCCTGGCCGGTGTGTCTGGGTCCCCGGTGTTGAACCCCCGAAAGCCGGTTCCAAATGTATGAGTACCACTCGTTTCTTCTTTTCCGCTCCAGGATATTTCAATTATTCTTTCCAGGAACCTTCATAGGAACACTTGCAAAACTGATGCAGCACGGGCATTGCAGTGAAAAAGGGCCCGCCGCGGATGTGATTCTTACTAATGCCAACTAGTTTTGGGGAAATCAGGATGCGCAGCACTTGATAGCACAAACAACGAAATTCTCACGCCGTTCTCTGAGACATTGAAACTTTGCACACATGTATGTACATTGTACTAGGCCTGTCCTCCATCGGCCGTTTTGCTTGTATGACGGAGAATAAGAAGGTGGAATTACTTGAAATTAGTATAGAAATAAAGTTTGTGTATCTAAATCGAAAATAAAACGGCCGATGGAGGACAGGCCTAATGTACATGGGGTTAGTGCAAGACGCTGAGCGGGTGGGCCTTATTGATTTTCCTTCAAGTCTTGTGGATGGTCTGCATTTCGTCTGGAAACCACACAGAATCAGGTGGAAATTCCCTGGCCAAACAGAGAGTAGTAGCGATTCAAAAAGACAAACACTGGCTTTGTCTCGACAGCCCACCATGTGACGGTTGGTCCCTTACGAACCACTACACACGACACACTTCAACGGCGGCTATGTCGTAGGATCGGGAGGGATACACACACTACACACACACCGACAGTACCTGCTCTGTGTTGAGCAGCACCACATAATCAGCACACAACATGCGTTATGATTTGTAAAATGAGAGCATGCACCAGCAGCGATAATATTAGAAAGGTGGTCTTCTTTACCTCTCTCCACCAAATGGCTCGGTCGTGGACGATTGTCGATTGGTGGGTAGTGTATTCAAGATCTTCAGCAGAGGGTCGACACGTACGTCCAACATCCAATGTGTATCATCACGGATGCAGATAGGAACACCCACCTACACGCGGACGCTGGAACACAGGAGTGCACGGATGAGGCGCAAACAAACGTGCAATTGGTGCCGCGCGCGCGCGCAACAACGCTTGCACCAAGACCTCAAACCCAACCCTAGCTAAATAATTCCGCTGCGATTCCGGGGTGTATGCGATTTGAATCACACATTTCCGGCAAAAAACAGCACCATGAGGGTTGGTATGTCCTGTCGGCCTCACTTCAAACCCAAATCTAAGGAACTGCAGACCTTCCATATGAGTTGGTCTTATTCGGGGTCCCAGGAGTCGCACATGACCCCGAAACCTCTGGAAGCCCGGATACCCGGCGATAAGAGCAAAAAAATTAAATCACACAGCGCTTCGCGCGAGCCCAAGGTTTCCGAGTGCAAAGTTTCGAAGTCTAACTCCTAAAAACCGCGTGAGGTTTTCATGTTGAACATTTTGGTGTATATCCTTTTCCTTGAGGCAGCTTGTTTGCCTGTATTGGCGACAACTGCCAAGCACGGCCATTTGTTGGAGTGCGACGAAACCGGTGTGACGAAAGAGTGTCCTAACTGTCTTTCTCCTCAAAACCCAGCAACTCGTAAGTCGGTGCTCAAAAATCCTCGTTCTCGTCTAACAACGTCGGTGTTTTATTGAGGTGTCGTTCCCCGGGGTTTTTGCTGACGGGTCGCTCTTCTGCGTGATGGTTGAGAGAGCTCGATACATGAAGCTCTGCGTCTCAGTATAAGAGGTCGAGGGTCTGTCGAGACGCGGTGGTCAAAGACAAGTCCTTGATGGTCTACGATGAAAAATTGTGTTGTCTCTAACACGCTGAGAACTGGTCTAGCTTCAGGTGCTAATATTCCGCAATCAAACCGAGAGATGCTTGAAAGGGTAGACGAAAGCAATATCCTCGACCCACACTACCCCCCCCACTCCCCCCCCTCATCCGGCCCAAAACCAAATACTTCGTATGCATTTTCTCCAACCAGACAGACGAAACACGCTCATCGAAGCCTTTTAGTCACCCGTAGATCAGCAAGATGGTGTCCTACCGATACAACAACACATGCATCTAGACCATCGTGCGGTCGTTGTTGTTCATCGAATCGCATCATCGTAACTTGGTAGAGCAATAACCAGTTCCGATAACATCTACGTACGACACATACCTGTGTGTCTGTCTTGAAATATAGGATTGACAAGTCAATAATGTATGGAAATATGTAATTTTGCGTAGACAAGCAATTTTTGCCTGCCCTGTTCCCTGTCCACGTAGTATGTATGCATGTAGATGTGAAGTATACACAGGGGAGGCGTGTGGCCAGCCTCCGCACGCAGTAAATGGGAGACCTCAACATAGTCAAGATATGAAAAGATATATTGACATTACAACAGACAGAGCCAAATGAATCCTACAATATAAGGGCCCCCTTTCCGGGATGTGTGTTGTGCTCTCCGTCCTGTTTATTATGGCGGTATAACCCCCATTTTTCGTGGTGAGACGAGTACACCACTTTTCATTGTACTTTTTCGTACAACTACAACCTTCCAGGGTCACACAGTAGGGGGTAATCACTGGGGCTTTTTCCTTATTATTCATTTTCGTGCCCCACCTTCCTCCTGCGGTGTGCGCTGAATTTAATTTTTGTCGCGAGAAGGGCCCAGCCGTCCCGTTCCCTCGTCAACGGTGCTTACGTCGAAGCTTGGTAGTCACGAGAGGCTTTTCAGCTGTTTTTCGCTTTTCACCCGCAAATTTGTACTTTTTTCACCCCATTGAGATTCGAACACACTCACGACCTTGGCGACCAGAGTTTTCGAGGTTATCACTAGACCACCGGGGCGACCGGTTGGATGTAGGCACATGCGATTCCGGGGGTGAATCAAGACGAGAGGACCTAAGGCATCTCCACTAACTGCTGTGCCGTGTCTTTTTTGACGAGACAGACAACCAATCACTATCGCGCAGACCAAAGCTGTTACTGATCGGGGCAATAGATACTGTATTGTCTCTTTTGTCACTCTCGGGACTAAAAAATCGCGCATACAATGAACGTGCAGCAAATCAACCGCAACTGTGAGCGATGAAGTCGAAGTGCTTTACACTAGAAGGGTCCAGTAAAACAAGGCCATATAATGTTCAGAAAAATCATGTAGTTGCCGAGGTTCAAAGCCAGTCGAAAAATACCCCGCCAATAACCATTATTCTGCTTTTTGATCGAACCGTTGTACTGTACACATCACCTGTGTGGTCTACGATAGCCGGCTTTATCCATCTGTCTATGCATTGCCACTGTTCTACACCGCCAGGGACTCGTATGTTTGCGCCGTGTTGTGTTTGCACTGTGTTCATTTTGTGCGTCTACAGCAGGGCATATATGTGTTTTGTGAGAACTGTGAGACGTACGGCCTAACGAAACAATACTATTCTGGTATTTTAAGAACTGTTGTCGCGGTGATGCACTACCTTTCACATCACCTTCTAGGGACAGCCGCGCACCACATTTTACTATTCTGCTGCTCTACCACACCTCTGCTTATTCTTTTGTTTGCACCGTGTTGTGTTTCTGTGTGGGCGTCTACAACTATTTGCTGGTGAGAGCGTGATGTCTCGTGCGAAAAGAAAATAAATAGCTCGCCTAGAAATTTTGGTTCCGGTTTTCTCAAGAGTTTTTTTTTGGTTCGGAATCGCAACCCCCTGAAAATAGAGCCAGTCCCAGTGACTTTAGGCGTCCAGTGCACACCCCCCCGATATCTGGCGTGGCCCACACATAGCAGGCAATGCACCGACGGGTCTTCAGAGTGCTATGCAGAAGAAAAAGGAGAAAAAAAGCGGTCCCACCAGAGAAATAAGAACATCGGCGGTTTCATATTGCTCGATTTTTGTTGGTCGACAGTGCGTCATTTATGATTCCGGACAAAAAGCTGTTTCTTGAGGCCAGAAATTCTTATTTGCACATTTTTTACTTCACGTTTCCAACAGTTCATGCGTTGGAAATAGTGACAATTTTTGATCGGATGGCGCGTTTGTTTTTTGCGTTTCGAAATGCACACCACACCGACAAAAGCATCCATTGCGCGGCATGTACTGGTTGTAGCGGGCTCATCATGGGGTCCAAGCAACCCTCGGAGCACTGCGCTGCCATGCCATCCGTTGATATGTGGTTGCCGTCTGGCCAGGTGCGTTTAAAGCAAAATTTTGGCCAGCTGACATACACACCGCTTGCTCAGATCTGGAAAGCGACGCAGCAGCATCATCCCACCACACACACATCGATGGACGACATCTTCATTTTCTCGCTCGCTAGATCACCTCTGCTGCTGAAACTTGCGAGGATGTGACCTCCATCAACTGCTCTCTGTCGGAGAGGCTGTGCTATTGCTGTTGGTTCGGTCAGTGGAGAGGGATAGCTACAACGCCGAAACTGTACAGCAGTGAGCGGATGATGGTCATTTTTGTAACAACAACAGCATTCAGTCGACCCTCGCCAACTTCGTTGCTCAGCCTCCCAGCGCGTCAGTCTCTGAAAACCAAATCATAAGTACACCCCCCCCCTCGGCGGGCCCAAAATGAAAGAAGTGGAACGTGGGCCCAGGATTATTTTTTCATGGGCCCTTGAGTCTTGTTATTTTTTTGGGGGGCAGGAAAGCCCGGTAGGCAGATGCGCGCTCTGTTGTCCCTCCGTCGGTACCTACCGACGAATACTAGTCCGGAAGCGTTCTGGCAACGACAATACCGTTCTTGGTACCGTGCTATGTAGTACCGTTCTGCGTACTGTGTTCTGGAAACATTACAGGGACACCGGAACTTGCCTGGAAACTTGCTTCGTACAACATCATCCCGCGTACTTCGAAAACACGCAAAATAACCGTTATTCGGCCCAGATAGCATAATCTTCACCACAATTGGCACATGACGTTCCTTTGCGTAATTCCAAATTAACCGCATTTCTACTACCTGATCAAGTAAAGATATTGGGAAGGGCACTACTGCACTACAAAATCGCATTTGACTAGGCAGAGGCACACGTGTATCCTGATAACCCAAATGTAACACGTGTCCTGATTACTCAAATTTAACAGGTGATTGAGGTAATGAACGGCTGCATCTGCTGCACGGTCCGCGGCGACCTCGTCGAGGCGCTGAAGCGCATGAGCAAGAAGCTGTCTGCCTTCGACGCTGTCCTGATCGAGACTACCGGTATGGCTGACCCCGCCCCTGTGGCGCAGACCTTTTTCGTCGATGACGAGGTGCAGGAGAAGTTTCGTCTGGACGGCATCGTGACAGTCGTCGACGCGGCACACGTAGAGCAGCATCTGGACGAGGAGAAGCCCGAGAATGTCGAAAACGAGTCCATCGAGCAGATCGCCTTCGCTGACCTCGTCATCCTGAACAAGACCGACCTGCTGTGCAAGAAGGACGAAAAGCTGGCCGCCGCCGCCGCCGACGACGACGGTGCCTGCAACGAGACCGACGCCCGAGCCCCCTACGGCAACAACGCCATGCCCCCGACCGACGCCGACACGGCCAAGGACGCTTCCAAGACGCCGGTCGAGGGGGCCCTGGCCAAGCTCGAGGCGCGCATCCGCTCCATCAACCCGTCCGCTCCAATCATTCGCTCCGAGTTCTCTCGCGTGCCGCCGAAGAAGCTGCTGAACCTGTCCGCCTTCGACCTCCAGCGCGTGCTTGAGATGGACCCCGAGTTTCTTGAGAGCGACGGCACCGACCACGTGCACGACGACTCCATTTCCTCCGTTGCCTGGTCCTTCCCGGGCCTGGAGCTGAACGTCAACCTCCTGCAGCTTTTCATCAGCAAGCTGATGCAGGAGCTTGGCACGGAGCTCTTCCGCTACAAGGGCGTCCTCGCTGTCAAGGGCTGCCAGGAGAAGTTCGTCTTCCAGGGCGTGCACATGCTCTTCTCCGGCGGCTTCGCCTCGGAGGCGATGGGCCCCGAGTCCGTCGAGATCGACCCCAAGATGAGGCCGAACGGCGACGGCACGAAGGCCACACCGCCGGGGCTCTGGGCCAGCGACGACGAGCGCGAGTGCCGCTTCATCTTCATCGGCAAGCACATGAAGGATAAGCACGCTGAGCGCCTCAAAAAGGAATTCCTCGCGTGCGCCGCTGAGGACCCTCTGCGCTTCGCCGTCGGCGACTACGTCGAGGCACGCGCCAGCGGTGGCTGGAAGATGGCCAGGGTCCTGAAGACCTGGGACGCCGGCAACTGCTACCGCCTCGAGCTCCAGAACGCCCGTAAGACCAACGTGTGGGGTCCCATCGACGACGAAGCGTTTGTGCGCCAGCCCGACGAGGCCGAGGTCGCTGCGGCTAAGGCCAAGGCTGCGGGCCAGAAGCAGAAGGTCTAAGCGGCTCTTGGCATGCCTCTTGTAATTGTTTTTCGTTTAGTTTCATGTTTTGTGTCTGGTAATTGCGTTTCAGTCTGTTATCCGGTAGAGGCGGAAGGGGGGGGGGGGGGTACTCAAAGTCGTGCATGCCGTAGTCGTTAGACCATTGACCTCGCATCCCTACAAAGCCGGGACGGAGCACGCCGGGTTCTCATCGGACCAGGCTCTCACATCACCAAGCGCGAAGCACCGTGAGATATTCGGCGAGTCTCATGAAGGGTGCGCTGCATCCTGCTAAGAGTTTTCGGCATCTTGTGCTTACTTCCTTGCGTACGGATGACAGCTGCGTATGACTTAATATATTTTCTGGTGCTTTCACTTCCAGAGACAGTTGTAATCACTGTGTAACTGCCTCCAGGGTGCTTGGCCATTTTAACACAACGTGGTGCGATCATCCCCCTTACGCGGAGTGAGGGTTCTCCACCCCGCACAACATGATCTCCTCGACCACCATTATGGTGACCGCCAAAAAACAAAAACAGAGGTAAAAAAACAAACAAACGGTGAACTGGTTGCCGAGTTCACGAAGTGAATTGGCTTGTTTTACAACGTCGTTGCCAAGCGACGAAAACCCAATCCCGATGGCAAACACCGAACGGGGGGTGTACTCAGAGTCGTGCATGCCGTAGTCGTTAGACCATTGACCTCGCATCCCTACAAAGCCGGGACGGAGCACGCCGGGTTCTCACCGGACCAGGCTCTCACATCACCAAGCGCGAAGCGCCGTGAGATATTCGGCGAGTCGCATGAAGGGTGCGCTGCATCCTGCTAAGGGTGTTCGGCATCTTGTGCTTACTTCCTTGCGTACGGATGACAGCTGCGTATGAATTAATTTACTTTCTGGTGCTTTCACTTCCAGAGACAATTGTAAGCACTGTACAACTGCCTAGAGGGTGCTTGACCATTTTAACACAACGTGGTGGGACCATCCCCCTTGCG